AGTGTTTATTCTGTGCCAGGCACTGTTCTAAGCATTTCATACGCATCATCTCATTTGCGTCTATACTAAATTCCCACAAAGTGGTATGAAGGAGGCTCTGTTACTGTTCTCATTGTACAGATGAGAAGCTGAGAAAGCAGACACAGAGGTCTGGATGCTGGCCTCTGGTTTGCACACTGTAGGAGGAGGGTCCTGACCCAGGGTCAGCCATACCTGCGTTGCTGCGCTGGGCTGCCCCTCACTGGTCCCTGGAATGCTCCTTAGACCTTGATTCTGCCTTTCCTGCCAGACATAGTTGCCTTGTGGACTCTCTCCGCTGACACCTGGTACAGGCCAACTCACGTAGTGACAGCTAATGAATGTGCATTCCTTGGGTGCGTGTCTCCCAGGGCTCTGAGCCCAAAAGCTGCTCCCCTCCAGGCCATTAGAATGAGTGCTGCTGTCTTCTCATCCACGTTCGCCCACCATCGACCACACCTGCTCTACCTGCGGGGTTAGTGGGCTAGATGCAGGCCTTCCACCCCCACTGCGTCCTGTCCCAGCTGTGCTCCCCTAATCGTGGCCCAGAAATTGGGGCATAGGACCATTTGTGGGCCTGGGACACGTTTCCTTGTCTTCCCCTTCTGCTTCTCACCATGCTTCTCCTCATCTCACACTCTCTTTTGATCTTGCAAATCCAGGCCCTTGGAGAAATCAGACAGTATGAAATATGAAAACTGCTTGGGAAGTAATTGAAGAAATACTGTGACTTTTGAAACCCATAGAGATAACACTCACACCTTCTTACTCCCGTTATTTAATTTTTAATGGCAGATTTAATTAATGGAGATCAGGTCTTCTGGTTTCAGATGTGCATATGGAGCAGCTGGAGGAGGGGGGAGGGGCGGCCATTTGTAGGGTAGAGGAAAAGACTCCAAAATCAGAATCTGGAGAGTCTAATGGGAAAGAAAAATCACCCAGAAATAATAGTTCCTCATCACTGGGTGCTAGTCAGTGTGTGGGGATTCAGTACAAGGCGTTTCAGAGCAATTTCCCAGTGACTTATAAGGGTGGCGGGGCACCTTTCAGACCCGCCTTGCCCTCGCGGCATGTGGGATTATGCTGTGGGCGTTCCAGGGCTCTCCTGGTACTGCCTCCGTCGTCCACGCAGCTGTCAAATGTGCCTTCTGAAGTACAGGTCTGCCCTGCCACTCACTCACTGGCAAAGCAAACCTTGGTTCACCCGTCGTTGCCTGTGGGCTGGTCCAGGCTCCCAGCTTGCAGTGGAGACTGCGGTGCCCGACTCCCGGGCGGCGCTTCTCTCCAGCCCCTTCCCTCACCCTTGCTCCTGGTGCGACAGCGTTTACCGGGTGGTGCCCCTCACTCTCCTTCGTGCTGCGGCCTCCCTTTACAAGACCCCGTCTCATTATTGGCTCATTTCTGGTCATCCTGTATGACTCAGTTCTTTAAAAATTGATGCACCCTTTGACCCAAGAATTTGACTTCTAGAATGTACCCTTCAGATATGCTCGTTTGTGTAAAAAAGGTATAGATGCCGTGATGTGACTTTCAGTGTTGTTTATGATAGCAGAAGATGGCAAACGGCCTCATGTCCACAGGTAGGGAACAGCTCTTGTGAGCTATGGGACAGCCATCCCTTCACTGGAGTGCCATTCAGTGGGCGGGATGGATCAGGCCTCTGAGAAGGCAGTGAGGAGACAAGGAGTGGCTTGTTGCGTTTGGCATGGTGCGGTGGGCATCGGCAAGCGGGCGTGCGCAGCACAGCAGGGAAAGAGCCCTGGGGCAGGCTGGCCAAGAGACCGAGTGGTCACTGTACTGCTACCTCCTGTCGTTGTGCTTTTGCCTTTTTAAGCCACATGTAAGTAATATTTTTTCAAAAACATTGTTTAATGTAAAAGAGAAACTTTAGGCCTCTGTTCAGATGCCAGCTTCCAGGAAGCCAGGCTGACATTCTGCCGGGCTCTCCTTTCTGGTGCCCCATTGTAATTGTGACGTTATGTTGTCTGGGAGCCCTGTGAGGCCAAGGAGCAGGCACGCTTGTCTGGAAATCTGCTGGCACTCAGTGGGTCTCGGTGTGAGCCTTGGGGGCCCTCGGTCCTTTGGGGGCCCCTTGGTGGTGGAATGATCCAGGCATCTGTGCAGTGCTGTGCTCTTCTTGGCAGAGGCGACTGACGCACTCTGGCAGCCTCAGGAAGGCCTGGTGCACATGAGGGTGGTGGCGCAGGGAGCGGGCTCAGCACTCCCAAGGCACAGCCCGAGGCCATGTGCCAGGGCGCAGCAGTGGGGCTCCGCAGCACCGCTGCCCTGGGTCTGCTCAGGCAGATTAGGTGGTGGGGCGCGTGGGTTGAGGCAGGAAGGGGAATTCCTCTGAGTCATTCTGAGAGACCGTAGAGGAAGCTGCAGTGGGGTAATCACAACCACTTCTTGGCCTATGGGCACATCCTGTGACATATCTCGCTGACCACATGTTCAGTCTGAGCGTGTAGTGAACTCAACTGCTTACCCAGTTCGCCCTGGCCGGGCTGTGCATGAAGACGCAGGGTCAGAGCAAAGGTGCTAAGTGTCCTGTCAGTCCACCGAATGCTGGGCCCATCTGCACCAGGGACACTCCCCTGGAAAAGGACATTGACAGGTGATGGAGCCTGGAAGACGGTGACCTGAAGAAGTCTTCAGAGAGGAGAAGGCCTGAGCCACGAGGCTGTCTTGTGGGAAAGGAAACACCGGGAGGGGTGGGAGAGCTTAGGGAAGGCACAGGCTAGCTTCAGCAAGTGCCGTGGTGCAATGGCAGTGGATGCAGGCAGGTCAACAGGGTGCGCTGTGAGCCCAGCATGATCTCTCAGCCACCCTGCGGGCTAGGGGGTTCCCTGTCTTACAGCCAGGAAGCAAGGCTCAAGGAAGTAAGTGACTTACTCAAAGAACACAGGGAGCGTGTGCCGAAGCGCAAGTTAGAACGTGGGTCTCTGGACCATGTGGCCTTCTGTGAGGGCCCATGAGTGGAAGGTTCAGACTGAGTCTAAAGGATCCCCATCAAGGATGTCTGCACGGAGGGGAGAGGAGGCCCTGACTTGATGGATCTCTGTCCCTACTCCCTCACTCAGGACATTCAGTGTTGGTTGAATGTTGGACTGGTTGAGGCAAAATCATATCTCTTGGCTGGGACATCAGGACTCCAGAGAGAAAACACGCTGGGCAGCTTGGAGTCAGCACATACTGTGGGAACCAGGGCAGTCCAGGCAGTGGTGGGGGAGAGCCCAATTTATTTCGTGCCTGCCGTGTGCTGGGCGTGTTCGCATTTCCCAGGTGCTATGCCTGATGGCCATCGGAGGGAGGCTTCGGTTCAGGGTGAGGCACCGAGCTAGGGAGAGGTAGGGTGACCTGGCCAGGCTCCCTCAGCAGCTGAGGGATGGAAGGCCTGACACTGGGCCATCATGGCAAGGCCCAGAGCAGAATTCCTGCACCTGCGGTTCCTGCTCCGCCCCCTCGTGCAGACCCTTCCACTGTCCCTCCCAGTTGGCTTTTCCCAGAGGGAGGCCCTGGTACCTGGGTGGGGGTGAGGGCCTGGTCCCCGCCCAGACCCCTGTGGGTCCTTAGGGAAGGTGCACCCCGTCTTGCCTTGGTCGCCATCCCCGCAGGTGGAGGGTGGAAAGCCTGGGGGTAAGGTCCTTCCCTGCATGGCTCTGATCTGGGACCCAGCACCTTTTCCCTCTGAAGAGTGCTTCCTTCCTTTCGGGTCAGGCTATCTATGTGCATGGTGCAGCGGGAAGAGCCGGGCTCAGAGTCTGACAGGGGTGCTGAGGGGGCATGGCTCCTTGACTTTGGGGAGCCTTCTCTTGCCTTGGGAGCTTCTTGCAGACCCTGACTGACTCAAGCCTGTGGAAAAACCTGAAGCCAGAAGCTTCTGTTTGCCCATCTGGGGCATACACAAGACTCTGTGAAGGGTTTGGCCCAGGCCTGCATGGGGTAGGTAGGCTCTGTATGTCATCTGTGGCTGTCTTGTCACCCTCACTAGGGAGGTCTCACTGCTGGCCCTGTTTCCAGTTGTCCTCTGGGTTTTTCGTTCTTGAGACCGCGTCCTGCAGGACGTCAGTCCATCCACTTGTGAGCCTCATGCGCTCTGTGCGGAGCATGGTGGCAGTTGGGGTTACAGGTGTGTCTCTATTGGTGTCCTCTGGAAACAGGTGGAGGGTCTCTGTTCCGGGGCTCTGTGGCCTGGTGTGACTCACCCCTGGGGTAACTTAGCCGCAGTCACACTGCGGTGGCCCCAGGGCTTCAGCCCAGCTCTGTCTTATGGCAAGCCCCTACTGTTCTCTACACCAGCCTGGCTCTGTGTGTGCACGAGTGCTGGGTGACCTTGGGAAGGATGGAAGTACATGCTTTTGGAACCACCCTGCACGCTCTGGACAGATGGTCGCCCTCCCATGGGTGCAGTGGTCGTGGCAGGCAGCAGAGCATGCACCTGACAGAATCAGACACCTGGGCTGTAGTCCTGGCACTGCCACTTGCTGTCTGACTTTGGGCAAGTCACTTCACCTCTCTGGGCAGCAGAATCCACCTATAAAATAGAGGTTGGACCAAATCAAGGCTCAGCGAACTTTTTCTTTAAGGATAATAAATATTTTAGTCTCTGCGGGCCATACAGTCTCTTTTGAAACTGCTCACCCCTGCTGTTGTAGCACAAAGCAGCCACAGACAATGTGTCGAGGAATCAGGAGTGTGGCTATGTTCAAATAAAACTTTATTTGCAAAATCGGCGGCAGGCTGCATTTTGCTCATGGTGGTGGGTTGCCAACCCCTGAACCGGAGGATCCATATGTCGCTCTAGCCTTTGCTCCTCTCAGGCTCAGTCCACGATGGGAGCTAGACGCATGTTGTGGATCAAGCAGCAGTCTGCTTTGACTGGTCGGGAAGTCAGCATCTGTCACCTTCTGACATGGTCGCACCCAGGAGGGGCGGGGGGAGATTTCACTCTTCGGTAACCAGTTCCATTTTTCTGTTTGTAGAATGCTGAGATATATAAACTGTCTTCACAGCAATTCCACGAGGCAGCTTCGAAAATGGAGGGCATGATAAGGTAAGAATTGTTTATTATTAATCCTAAACTTAGTCTGTATTAGTAAAAATTCCCACATGTGGCTTGAAACCTGCCATCAATGCCTCATTTCAGATTTCTCCAGTAACACAGATGACAGTCTGTTGCTCGTTCTCTCAGCTGGCTCTGAAGCGGCCAGTGGTCACCTGTCACTGGCCGAACGAGCACTCAGTCCCTCCCAGCTCCGGGCGGTGGGAGTGGGCTGCAGCAGACTGGCAGAGCTGTTTCAGGCCTGGTGTCCTGAGCTGGGCCAGGGGCTGGACATCAGGCCTCCAGGGGAGTCAAGGAAGGGCTGCTGCTGGCCCCCCATTTGCAGAGGTGGTTTTTGGAGCCACCTGTTCCCTGGGGCACCTCCATCTGCCTGGCCCTGAGCCGTGTGCCTCTTACATGCTGACCCTCAGGCTGGCCCCTTTGTTACTCCCAGAAGGACTAGGTTTCTGGGACACTGAGGCTTGCTCAGGTCGCACAGTGTTAAGTGCCAGCATTCTGTCTGTCGTGCTCCCGTGCTGTCAGGGGAGGCCTCTGACATCAAGAAACAAGGAGGTGCGTGAACATCAGGGCACGGGAGGTTGTGCCGTGTGTTCGTGCAGAGCGGCTCTGCTCGGTTCAGGGCGCAGGTCTCAGGAAGGTCTGAGGGGTTCCTGTGGGAAAGGGGGCTAGGCCTTGTGCTCTGGGTCCTTGTGTGAAGGTGGCCTCTCTGGATCCAGAAGGCCTTCCTAGATTAGCCAGGAGGCTCCGACCGACTCCCTTCCTCTCCCTCAAGGGTCTCACCCTCCCAGGGGTGACTCAAGGTGACTCCCCAGGCAAACCAGTCACAGTGCAGAATGGTGGGGGCTTAGATCTGGTGCCATGAGAAGGAAATGTCAGCGGAGGTATGGGTGACGAGGAGGTGATAAACTACTTGTAAACACGATGCCGACAGAAACCGTGTGAGGAGCAGGAAGGGCATGGGGCTGATGGGCATTAGTACAGACCCAGGCACAGCGCAGACACCTGCCGCAGGGGAGATGCTGCTGGGCTGTGGGAGGACCCACTGAAGAGCAGGGTCAGGGAGGAGAAGATGGTTGTCTTGAGATTCCAAGTCCTGAAGCAGTAACAGGACGCTCGGAGAAAGAGCTTTCCAGCAGGTGGATGGAGACGAGGAAAGGTCTTGCCTGTGCCCGTTGGCATCCCACAGGGCCTGGGTGTGTGGGCGCTGTGGGCTGTGTGGACTCCAGGAATGGACATTCCAGCTGCCCTTGCAGGATGTGTGTGCCACCCCACACGCAGACGCCCCTGCCCTCACAGACAAGGGCCCGTCTGGCTCATGAGGGCGGAGAAACAGTCAGAATCAAGTCAGAGAGAGGGAGAGGTTGGGAAGCAGTCATACCCCAGGGGCCAAGGTGACAGCCATTCTAGTAGTGTGATCCCTGGAAATGGCCAAACTGCAGGGCAGCCCCTTGCTCTGCCCCCCCACCCCCACCCCAGAGCTGTCTGTGGAGCAGTGAGGCCGGGTGCACAGCCCTCTCCCTCTTTACCTGGATCATGGAACAACCTGCCAAGGGAGAGAAGCTCTGGGGAGAAGCCAGACTACTTTACTTTCGGTGACCATGGTGTTTTGTCACCTGCCATGTGGCCCACTGTCCTGAGAATGGGGACCCTGGGCTCCTGATCGCTGGCTTAGTGAATTTGACTTTCCTGTCATATGCTTTCTCATCCTTTCATCCTCTGAAGGCAAAGGGAGATGGCATATGAGTATATTTTTAATCTGAGTGAAGTGAAGGCTTTTTCATTTGTTTGCAACATCCCTTGATTACTGCTGTTTACTAAGCACGTTACTAAATGGTAGGCTCTCCGCAAGGCACCTCAACTGTGTCCTCTCGTTACCATCCTTGGTTCCAATCCGCACATGGAGAGCGGAGGCTAGAGAGGTGGGATAGCTGTGTGTGCAGTCACCCCTGGCCACCTGCTGGGCTGGGGGCAGGCTTAGGTTACACTGCTTCAGAGCCACTGCTCTTCAGTATCTGTCTTTGTGTTCTCGCTGTCCCTCGAAGGCCCCCTCTGAACAGAAGCCGGGCAGCAGGGTAGAGCTAAGAGCCTACCTGGGCTTCCAGTCAGGCAGACCTGCGGTCACGCTCAGCCCCCTCTTCCTGGCTCTGTCCCCTTGGGCAGGTCACTTCATCTCTCTGAGTTCCTCATCTGCAAACAGAGATGGCACCCCCATTACTGCCTTGAGTGAGATGCCGCCTAGAAAGCAGACGTGGGTGTGAGCAGTTGTTGCTGGTCTGGCTCGGCTGCTGTTAATGATGGCAGCCGCCTGAATCACTTTTGCAGCACTTAGCTTGAAGTAGCGTGGAACACATTTAATAAATGAGTAGAGTTTACTAAAAAAATTTTGCCTTTTCCCAAACACAGTAAACAGGAAGCAGTGTAGAGTTAGAACTTATTTTACTTAAACACTGGGAGTAGGGGGCGGAATCCTTGGTTGGGAGAATTCTTGGAGTAGCAAGCGATTGTAAATTTCATTGTAAATGCCGCAGAAATCAATGCCAACTGCTGACTGCAGTAATATTGGAGAGTTTTCCTCCAGGAGAGTGAGCCTCTTTTCACAACTTTGAGTCACTGCACGGTAACTTAGATGGCTCACTAGATGCCAGTGCGCTCATTCGTCCCTTCAGCACTCGTGTGCAGTGCCAGGCACCGTGCGAGGCACTGGCCATATGATGATAAACAACATAGCTTCAGTTCCTGCCAGCAAGGAGCTTACAGCATTTGAGGAATGACAAAGCAATATTTTAAAATTAATTGCACCAAAAGCAATTGCCCGAACAGTAATTGACCACAGTAATGAGACGTGAAAGAAAGAGTTTGAATTAAAAAGTGCTTATATGAGGACCCTAACCTGGACTTGGATGCTGGGGAAGGCTTCTTTCTCTAAGGAAATGACATTTAAACTGACTCCTGCAGGACCAGGGGTTGACCTGAAGCAGGGAGGAGAAAGACTATTTTAAACAGAAGAATCAGCTTGTGCAAAGGCCCCAGGCAGGAAGTAATTTAGCATATTCAAGGAATTGAAAGGCCTGTGTGGCTGGAGAGGAAGGAATGAGAAGGGAGAGACAGGGATGAAGCTGCAAGAAGCCAGCAGAAGCCAGACTGTGCAGGACTGTGTGATGGTGGTTCATGTGAACCATGTGAAACAAGCAAAAGCTGAGTAAAACCCTGAGAGTTTACTTACATCCCCAGAGCAGTGACGTACCGTTTCAGCGTGCTTCCTTTCCCAGTGTATGCATTTAAGGTATTGACTTTTCTATAAACACAGCTTTAGCTACACCCTACCAGTTTTGATATATTTTCATTGTAATTTATTTTAAAATTTTTCTAGTTTTAATTCCTTCTTCTTTGACTCATAGGTTATTTCAAAAATGTGTTGCTTAATTTCCAAACGTTTGTCAATTTTCGTTACCTTTTTAATAATTTCTAGTTGAATTCTGTGATTAGAGAACATACTCTAAATCCTCTAAAATTTTTTTTCTTTTTGAGGAAGATTAGCCCTGAGCTAACATCTGCCGCCAATCCGCCTCTTTTTTTTTTTTTTTTTTGAACTAAGGAGAATTGGCCCTGAGCTAACATCCATGCCCATCTTCCTCTACTTTATATGTGGGACACCTGCCACAGCATGGCTTGATAAGCGGTGCGTAGGTCACGTCCAGGATCCGAACTGGCGAATCCTGAGCTACCAAAGCGGAGCATGCGAATTTAACCACTACACCACTGGGCTGGCCCCTCTAAAATTTGTTAAAACTTGCTTTATGGCTCAGTATATGATTTGTTTTGATAAACCTTGCATGTGCACTTGAAAATAATGTGCATTCTGTGAATGCTGTTGTATTCTGTATTTCTCAGTTAGGTTAAGTTGGTCAATCATGTTCAGATTTCCTGTATTGTTACTGATTTACGGATTTATGGTTTCTTTCTGAGTTCACTTGCTTTCTGACTAAAGGACTTCTTTAGTAGTCCTTTTAGTGTAGCTTTGCTCATTACAGACTCTCTCTATTTTTATTTCTCTGAAAATATCTTTATTTCACCTTCAATTTTGTAGAATATAGCAATCCTTTCTCTCAGCTCTTTGCAGGTGTCTTTACGTTCTCATTTGATGTCTGTTTTTCCTTGGAGAAGTCAGCTGTTGGTATTATTATTACTCTTTTGTAGTAATTTCTTTTTTTCTCTATCTGATTTTCAGATTTTCTCTGTCTTTGGTTTTTTTGGCAGTTTGACTATGGTGTGCCTACATATAAATTTTCTTTCTTTTTTCCTTCTTAGGATTCATGTCTTGGGGTTTGATATCCTTTTCTTTGTTATAGAAATTTCTCAGCTATTATTTCTTCAAATAAAAACTCTGCTCTATTTTATCTTTTCTCCTCCCTGGAATTTCAGTTTTGTGGATTACTGTGTCTCTCATGCCTCTATGCTTTTTTTTCTGTTGTCATCACTTTTTTTCATCTTCATGCCGTAGCGTGAGTTTTTTCTATGACCTTTCACTTCACTAACGCTCTTTTTAATGTGTCAGGTCTGCCTTAAACCTATTTACTGAATTCTGAATTTAGATTATTGCGTTTTTTAAAAAATTCTAGAAGTTCCACTTGCCCCTTTTTTCCCTAGTCTCTGGTAATATTCTGCGTTTTGCCATCTGTTTTCTTGAACATGTTAATATGGTTAGTTGAAGTCATCTGAGGGTCTTTTTCTATTGCCCTGTTTGTTTCTCTTGGTCCTGTGTCTTTGTATGCCTGTCACTCTTGGTTGAGTACCAGATGCTGTACAGAGGCTCTGGAGTATGTTGACCCCCAGAGGTACCTGCCCTGCTCCTGATGGCCACCTGAGTGGCGGCAGATCACCTTAAAGCCATGGTAGGCAGAGCGGCTGGGCACTTGCCTGCAGTTTTAATCACGCTTGGGCTGCTCCTGACTCCCCCGTTTCTGGGGTAGGGCTTCCAGGGCTCTTCTTTC